GACAAAGTTCCTCACCAGACTTCTGTACTCCTCTTCCTGATCATCCCAGATACACCCCATGATGGCCGTGTCATCTGCAAACTTCTGAATATGGCATAATTCAGACAGAGTTGTAGCAGAAGTCAGAGGTGTACAGGGTGAAGAGAAGAGGGGACAGCACAGTTCCCTGTGGTGCTCCTGTGCTGCTGACCACAGTGTCAGACGTGATGTCCTCCAGCCTGACGTACTGTGGTCTGTCGGTGAGGTAGTCGGAGATCCAGGCCACCAGGCAGGGGTCCACCTCCATCCTGTTCAGTTTTTCCTGAAGCATACAGGGCCGGATGGTATTAAAGGCACTGGAAAAGTCAAGAAACAGGATCCTGACCGTGCCTTTTCCCCCATCCAGGTGTGAGTGGGCTCTGTGTAGGAGGTACAGGATGGCATCCTCCACTCCGATAGTCAAACCTCAGATACAGGAGGAACAATGTGGTTTTTGTCCTGGTCGCGGAACACTGGACCAGCTTTTTATCCTCTCAAGGATACTTGAGGGTGCATGGGAGTTTGCCCAACCAGTCTACATGTGTTTTGTGGACTTGGAGAAGGCATTCGACCGTGTGGTTCTGTTGGCTTCATCGGGTGATGGCCTCCAGCTCACACTGGAACGGTTCGCAACCAAGTGTGAAGCAGCGGGAATGAGGTTCAGCACCTCCAAATCTGAGGCCAGACAGATTTTAGTATACTGTGATATATTATGCTCTTGTCACTTGCTCAGAGTGAAATATTATGGCATTATTTTTGTGCCACTATTCTGAGCGCACGTAAAAAAAATTTGAGGGTACTTTAAAAAAAAATTGCAGGTGCAAGTGTTGCATTTTGAGGAGAAGTTTATTTTGAGCGAAGAAAAGCTACATTTCAATGAACAAAATTCATTGCTGCGTGCAAAAAATGTATTTCAGTGTTATTGATTATCTATACACACACACAATAGCATCCTCTCTCCCTCAGTTTTTGCGTTTGCGCTCGCTTGCAATGTGTTGCTTGTACTCTCAACATTTCTGCCCGTGCATGTTCAACGCTTTCTGTGCACCGTTATATTTGTGCCACAAAACCAGCCAATCACAGACTTGGATGCAACAAAATCTGATTGGCTGTTTTGGTCTCCAATCAGCTCAAAATGACGAAATGCAATATCCCAGAATCCATTTCGTCCAAAACTCAAATGAGGCAGTGGAGGAGGAACACAGAGTGGCGGAGTTTGAAATATTGCTCTTTCTGGGTCACAAAATAAACTTTTAAGATATTTTCATGCGAGAATGGTGCTGTGTAAACTTCAAATATCTGCTCGATTTATCAAGACATCACATATTTGCAAAAGTGCTCTAACGTTTTTGGAAATGCCTGTTAAATTTTTTTTACGTGCACTCAGAATAGTGGCACAAAAATAACGCCATATAAAACTGGATGATATCTCCAATGAATGAGTAACACTTAGAAACTTTTGGTAAATGGTGCAGGTTGGATTTTAATTGCAGTGTGAAAGGGCCTAAAGTTAAAATTAAATTACAAGTCTAACACAGTGTTTAGCTCACCGGTGCTTGGTGGATCTTGGCTGTTGTTGCGTTCACACTCTTTCCTGTACAATTCCCAGCGCTCCGTCACCTTTTGCAGGGAAACAACAGCAGAAACCTAAGGAGACAATAACAGCAACACAATTAAAGAAAAAAGGAAGGTCTGTTTTCCTGGAGACTTACGGATACATTTCAACCAGATAGACATGAAGAATACTGAGAACATGAACCTCGTGCAAAGCAACTGGCCAGCTGACGTTCATTTGTTTCAGTTCACTTTATATATACGGTAGCTGTAAACAACTGGTTGTCATACTGGAGATTTAATCAATCAAAATAAGACCTTGTCACACGATAATACTGTACTTACGCTACTGTACAGAGTGTTTAGGTTTCTGTAACTCTCTAAGACAAGTCTTAACTGTGAAGGTCATTGACTAATATATATA